TTAGTCTAGGCGTTAGAAAAGCTCCCTTAATACCTAGACTATAAAAAGGTAACGGTATATACTAACTACTTGTTACTTAAGGACGCCTTTAAGGATTAGGGCCTAGTTAGAGGCAAACGTTTACTTTACTTTACTAATTAGTAGCTCTTTCTTTTAAAGTATTAAGACTAAATAAAGATTTAGCACTATCTAGGAAAGTAACACATAAACGCTAACGCTCTCTTCTAAATACTAATAAAAGAACTAATAAAAGAACTAATAGCCCTACTTATACCTATACTAACAAGGATTTAGATACTAGCTAAGTTAGACTCTAAGTAAGAATTAAACGTATAGCTCTAGTACGTCTACCTAGTAAGAACGTACAGAATAATAACGGCACTACTATCTATAACAGATAGTCTAGTCTTAGACTGTCTTACTCTAAATGTTGTTTTAGATCTACTTATCCTAGACACTATCGTTCTAGTTCTAGGCGTCCTAAACGTTTTAAACGTCCTTATAGATCTAAGCGCTCTATACCTAAACATTTTAAACAAGCTTAATAGTAGTTTTCTAGTTCCGGACGACGTCCTTATAGACGTCTTAGCCCTTATACCTTTATTAAATACAGCTCTTATAGACAACAAACCTACGTCTATAGGCAATATAACGTCTACAGATAACAAGTCTTTTTATACCTTATACATATACCTGACTATACTTAAAGTAATAGTCTATTAACTACTATTAGATAAATCTCTAGGTAAAATTTACGCTTTACTAGTTAAGCTTTACTACGATACTAAAGGAGAGTTTAACAGGCCTAGGACGACTTTCTAGTCCTTCTGTCACGACCCTAAGTCAAAGTTGTTATTTTTCCTTAATAGCGATTAAGAACGCCTCTATATACTACTAAAATCATAACAGAAGGTACTTAAGGCTGTACATAACAACCGTGCCTATATTAGTACTAACTAGACATATTACTACTTGTATTAACACGTGTTTTTTCCTAAAATAAGAAAGTAAGTACTAGAATACGTTACTAACTACCTGACCTGTTAAGGAGCTAAACTAAAACGTATATACCTATAAGAGGACCTACATCTGGTTACGTATCTAGACCGACCGCTATTAGTACTATACTTTAATTTTGTTAATAGTCTCTCTTTATCTACTTAAGGTTACGATAAGCTACTAACGATTACGTGTAAATTAACGAAATACATTAAGTCTATCCTAGGAAAAGAGACCTAGACTATAAAAGACTAGGCAGATACTTACTTTACCTAAGTTTATAAGGACTAGGGCTTTTCTAACTAAATTATCTCGGATAGAGACTCTAAATTCCTGTCCTAGTTCTAAGGACAGGTATTCTAACTAGTATACGTTAAGCTTACTTTTACTACTACTTATTATTTTATTATAGACAGATAATTAGAACAGACAAACTAGACGCTTATACATGCCTTACACTACGTACTAGGTAGTAAATACGACTAATTGCCCTAAGAGGACCTATTACTATTCGTTTAAATTATACTAAATACGTTAATAAATGTATCTACTAGTAAAACTCTGTACTAGCTTTTATATAGAAAGGAAGTAAAGGTAGAGTTTAAAGGAACCCTTAATACAGACAAAGAAGACGGCTAGATCTAGTAGCGTATTAATTTACGTAATAAGGCTATAGATATAGTAAAGCTTACCTAAACTTATATAAAAATGTATTATAACAAACATTATTCTATACTACACTTTAGTAAATACGCGTACTTGTGTTTAAGTAAGAAGAACAAAACAGGATACTACCTTTAAAACTAAACGAAGTTATCGTTTAATAAAGTTAGTCCTTTTTATATCTTCTACTCCTTTAGTAACCTTACTTATAAGATTAAACTCCTAAATTAGCTTAAGGGAATATATCTTGTTATTTTAGTAGAACATTTAGAGCTAGCGCTACCTAATCTATACGGCCGACAGAAACCTAAACCTAGTCTTATATATATTAAGGGTAAAGAACGATACATTATTAAGAAGATTCTAGCTTACGAAACGCGTCGCTATCCGGGTTAACAAAAGGATGTATAGTATAAGGTAAAGTAGCTAAGGTATAAAGAGACAATATAAGAGCCTAGAACGACCTTATAAGAACAAGTCCCTTAACTTATTAAGGTATACTATAATAATAAAAAACAATAGAGACAAATTAATAGTCTAAAAAGACTTTAAACTACTACTGTCTAAGAAGACGTAAAACTATTACTAGAGAGTACTAAAAGGTAAGATAGCTGTTCTTATTTACTATATTATAGTAAGCGTTACTAGTCGCTTTTATTTTTTCCTTATCCTTTACCTTCTTATAGATTAGACGTATTAAATCTATCTTCTTCTAATAATTACTTTTATATCTATATAAGAGATTAAGGATCTATTATCTTTTTCTTTGTCCTTTCTTTCTCTTACAAGACTAGATATATCTTTTGTATTAGGCGTATTAAATACATCTTTGTTTAATTAACGTATTTTTTATCTTTATAAGATTAGATATATCTCTTATTACTTTCTTGTTAGATTAGACACATTAAATACATCTTTGTTTAATTAGCGCACCTTCTTCTTAAGCGTCTAATGTCCTTAAAGGGCCGCTAACACGACCTTATTTATAACGCCTACCTTATAGTAGCTATACGCGACTATATAGAGCTATAGAGAAAGCTGCCGGACGCGCGGCCGGTTAGCGGTTCTAAGTCGTTACTATAGTTATTAGGAGAAATAGCGAGTCCGTCCTAAGTAGCGCGAAACGTGTAGAGACAGATAATAGCCGCCCTTAGAGTAGGCCGTGTCCTTAGTTAGAAAAACGTCGCGTCCTATAGAGAGCTGTGCTATAGAGGCGGGCTTCTTGATGCCTAGATAAAGGGTTTAATAGACAGGGTTATAAAGGATTTGGTAGACGATGACGGTCAAATGCGAGCGAAGACAGACAAGACGCCTAATAACGGACCGCAGATGTAAAGAGACAACGAGGACGCTACCAAAATGCTGTAAGAAGAAAACAAGGCTGTCAAGACTACTACACTAACCCTTACCCTAACGTTACCTTTAGCTACCCTAACTAACAGAGCAAGAGTACGGCTAGTACACTAGGTAAAGAAGACACTCGACAAGTTTAAGGAGGTAAAGGCCGTAATAATAGCGAGCCCTAATAAGATAATAAGGGCCTACGGATAGTACATGTACTAGTAGGCCTATAACAAGGATATTATTAACGTAGTAAGTGCCTTTATCTAATAGTCCCTAGACCGGTTTCGAGTAGAGGACTACTAAACGTTTAGAGCTAGCCCTTTATAATTCGTATAATAGCTATTCCTGTTTAGTTAGGCTACGTAGCAGACATTCGGTCAGCCTATACAGTAGCTATTTAGTTAGGCGATATAGCACTTATTTAGTTAGCTATTCGGTTAGACGTAGTAGCTATTTCCTTAACCCTTTTATAGATATCCTTTCTAGAGAGACACTTAGGATTACGATAATGTAGTACTAGTAGTAGATTTGCTTTTACGCGGTGTTACAGTTCTATAGAACAGGGTAGTAGATTTGCTTTTATACGATGATTTTATACGCTAGACTAGATAGATTTACTTTTATATAGTGTTACGGTTTTATAGGACATAGTAGTAGATTTGCTTTTATACAATAATTTTATACGCTAGACTAGATAGATTTGCTTTTATACGGTATTACGGTTTTATAGGACACGGTAGTAGATTTGCTTTTATACGGTAATTTTGTTTTTATATAGTAGTTTTATACGGACGTTTATAATACTATTCCCTAGAGGGAATGCTTAGAGGGAGGGGACATGTTAGGCGTACGTGACCTACAAACCCTATTATATCTAGACTCTAGACTCTCCCTCTCTTCTAGGGAATAGACACACTGTACCTATCAAACTATAAATCCTACAAGTGACGGGTACCCGTGTCCCTACAAAGGGCCTGCCGAATGGCACCTTATCTCGAACGTAACCTACCTTACCTTCAAAACCTGGCCCAGCAGACAATGGCCTATAATCCACGACTATCACAACGCTACCTCGGACACTGAGAATCCAATATCCACCAGGAGGAAATAAGTGATATATTCTTCTCTCTTCCCCTAGCACGGTAGTTCCTGCAGCACATCTGGGAAGTTGCGCCCAGCCTGATAAGAGCACAGAGATGTGAAGGATCGCATGGCCAATCCTTTTTAGAGCTTATCGTGCTTCATCCTTGTGTTGGGGTAGATCCCCTTGCCGCGCATTCACATACCTAATCATGGGTTGGTTAGTAGGTATGGAAACCGCTGGAGAAAAGGTTCCCGAACAGACATTGACCGAGATACGAATTAGATTACAACGGTGTCCTACCATTATTGTACCACTTGTCCTCTGTGTATATACTACTACTACTCCGTATGTCTCCCGCCCTGACCCGCTGCCTTATCTAATTGCAACAGCCGTTTGACCTGGACGCATGAACGGCTTGCTCATACTGGCGCAAGTTTTCAGCGCCAGTAAACACGTCACCCTAATCGGTGAGCTATCCAACAGCCATGAGACCGGGTCGTGAGTACATTCAACAAGGATGAAAGATTGTACACGTTGAAAAGAACTTATACCCCGCACAGATCCAATGTCGCCATCAACGTGTGAAGCAATTTGACTGGTTACTGCGTGTCATGATAACCGACCCTCCGAATGCAGAAGACTCGTTTCAGCCGTAAGATAGAGAAGTACAGTCGTGTCACCAATCATGACCATGAGCGAGGTTTTTTAGCCTACCTTACTATGGAAAATGGTACGTCTGCTGTACTAAATACTCTCTCGACTCTCGAGTCAGATTCCAGCCGGGCCGTATGATAGGATACATCTTCCTGAGCGATTAAAGACGTATAAAGCTCAGCTGTCCACTCTTGCTTCTGATACAAAAGAACAAATTATTCCTTTTATGCTAGACAGACAAGTTCTCTCCTTTGTAGAGATCACTAGCTACATTGATATTGCTGTGCCATCTAATACACTGTTGGCACCCACGTAAGTTCATTGTTAAAAATACCCAATCGATCTCAGCACTCTATTCTTAAACGTTTTTAGGATGTGCAAGAACTACGTTTCTATCAAGATCTACGCTTGCGGCACTCGCGGTGGGAAGGAAACCTTCAAGTTTGACCCTTGCGATAAGCAGGACAAACCAGGACACGAAGTTATCGAGATTGAAATGGGCTCAAGTAAGGTTAAGGCCGCATGTGGCAAGTATACCTGCGCCGTCTGTGGCACTGGGAATTGTAAGTTGAAGGTACGCAGTTTTGGAAATGTACTAACAGACTAAGGAAAATATCATCCGAACATGAACTACTGCTCCTGTATTAATCCCATGGATGATTCTTCTTGAATCCATAATCCGAGATAGATTCAATCAAAGAGTGTCTAGCAAATAGATGCCAAGATTGCGGCCGGCTTCCAAGTGAATAGTTTTGTGAAAAGAGCCCTCCCTGCAATGTTCTTCTCTTATCTATCTCCAATTTCCATTTCTCCTCAGCCGGAGGACAAATTCGACCCAGCATGGCAACTTCGTATCATTACCACCGTCTTCTCGCTAAGGGGCGCCCAAACAACGTCATCCATCCATGCGGTCTCGTAAATGCGAGCGGGGCGGCCCGCCGAGGTGGGGATATTAGTGCAGGTGATCTAGCTTTACATAGAAGCACCGCTCTTATGGCTGCAATATGCAATGTTTTGTGCCGCCGGCCAGTTTTGCTGGATCGCATCTACTCGTAGCAGAGTTTCTGGGTTGCAAGCGAAGGTCGGGACCTGAGCAAGGCAGTGAAAGAGGAATAGCGTTGCTGACGGAACAATATTTAATCCAGCACTCCGCGCCGCGATGGCGGTTTATACCCAACTTTACCTTAGGTATCCTTTACTTTACCATTCTCTACATCTCTCACAACTTATCAATGCAGTATGGAAAATATCGGATCTACAAGTATCATTGAACATATCCGACCCGGAGTCGTTCTCAAGCAGCCGATCGAGTTCCAGACCAAAGAACTTGCAGAAAAGGTCGACCTCTGCTTTTCTGTCGAGCCGCTCATACTCCAGAAACTTGGACAGCACCCAAGAATTGTGAAGTAAGTACATCACATGCTGCTGCTAGTACATACTTATAGGTACTGGATTGTTAGATATCTCGGACAAGAAGGCCGTGGCCTACTCCTCGGCCAAGCAAGCCACAGCAATCTTCAAGACTATATCGATAACAATCCTTCGATTGACCTGCGCCAGCGTATAATATGGTGTCGGCAGTTGACCGAAGCTGTCTCTTATATTCATAGCCATGGCGTGGTCCACTCCGATCTTCGACCTAGGAACGTCCTTGTCCATGAAACTGCCCCAGGTTCTCGGGACTTGCTGCTCTGCGATTTCGGTGGATCTACATGCGATGAATTAGGTCTGGATGGAGGCTGCCTTCCTGACGGTCCGTTTTACCATCCTGTTTTTGGACTCGAGTCAACCCCAGCTCTCGACATATTTGGCCTTGGGTCTCTCTTTTACACCATTCTGACTGGGCGCTGGCCTTACAGATCTTCCTCTGGGCCACCCAAAACAATAGATGATAAGATCGCATATGAGAAGGAAGTCGCTGAGGCGTTCAACCAGGAAAGATACCCTGATCTGACAGGAGTAATAGGAGGCAGTGTGATTTTAGCCTGTTGGATGAAGCAATACTCGACAGCAGAGGAGGTTCTGCATGCTTTACGAAGGGAAATGCCGATCTTCGAGGACGGGGCAGATATAAAGCAGGCTGATCCCATCTCGATCCTCTTTCGAGTAACAATTCCCGTTGCGGTCCTGATAGTCTCCACATATGTATTTTTACGGCAACGGCCACAATAAGCGCGAAAGAGGCACAGGTTAGGTGTCAATACTACGTGGCGGTTTGTTCTGCCTCTTGTACTAGTTCGAAAAATGATGTATATAAGATGAACGATAGTTATGCTATAGCACAAGATATTACACATATTAACTCTATCGAATTCTACGTTTTACAATATGTCCCAGCCTTTGCTCCTCGTCTATTATAGTGAACCATACGAAAGGAGAGAAACGGCGGTTGCTGTATGACCTTGATGCAAATAAGGTAAATCTCTACCTTATCGTGGCTATGAAGGTCAAACTTCCTAGTTCATATCTCGCTGGTAATTCAAACTGCAACCCGAGACGGATCACCCTGTCAGGTGTTCGCGGCAGATATCTAGTGAAGTGTGGCCCGTGCCCAGTCTCGGCGTTGTGTACATAGAATTCCTCTATCACAATCGCACTTCTTTCCTTCCAGATGGCTTCACAAACAGCTCCTAGAGACTTCCAGCATCAGCCTCTGATCGAAACCCTCACCAACTTCTACAACCTCCTAGCCGAGACCTGCTACATCCAAACCTCCGACATCCTCCTCCCCCCACACGGCGCAAACTTCAACCCCTCTCTCGGCGCGACCGACGGCTTCTCCCCTTCAGCCCTTACTCTACTCTCGCAACTACCATACCTCTCCGAACAATGCCAAACCATCTCCCTCGATGGCGGCTCAACCAATCCGCTCTCCTACCTCACAGACCCATTTCCAGATGAAGACGGCAACCTCTCGAGAGGCTCTTGGCCAGATGCGCGCGATCCCACGTGTCTGGGCGACGAAGAGATGAAGCTCCCAGAACACATGGTCGCCATCACGCTCGGCAATCTGTACGGGACCTGGCTAATCTACGATCTGGAATCTCGTGCGTCTCCATCTATCCTGTCGCAGACTTTTTAACAGAGGGCAGGCACTTTGCGCGCGTGGGACACGATAGCCGGGGAAATAGACTCCGCCGCAGACATTGAGAAGCTGCCCGCGCTTGCGCCGGCAGAGCTGCTGGAACAATGGGCGGCTAGATTCAGAGCGCTGGAAATCATGCCGCTTGAGTTTTACGGCAGCGTGTTTAAGCCAGCTGAGCCAGAGGACCTTACGCCTGAAGAGGCGGATCTGGTGGCCGAGTGGAATGAGGGGGTTGAGGCTGAGTTTGAGATAACTAGGGATGAGTATGTAGTTGCAAGGGGTTTAGATAAGCTTTATAGGCAGTATGGGTGGCGTGGGGGAAGCGGGAATAGAGATGGAGATAGGTGGGAGAGAGAGGAGTTTGTGGCTAGGAGGCGTGTATGGTTTGCAGGGGTATATGCCGGGAGGGATGAGCGGAGGGCTGCTTGACTATACATTTGATGGCGGTCTCCTCATAAGTCACACTTGAAGAAGGAGGTAGGTTTTGGGTTCCTTCGAGTGGGCCTTGTTTGCAGGCAAAGAGGCTATTAGGCTTTTACCTGAGCTGAGACAAAGACATAATCCAGTTGTCGACCTAGAGGTGGTTTCTCTAGCCAAATAAGGGCTTCTTCTCGACTAAATATAAGAAGAGTCCGGAGTTTTACGGTACGAGATTAATTCTCGGCAGGCATCCACCACTAATCTTCCTTATCACAAATTATAGAACGTGCGATTTTCGCCACATTGTCTCTGTCTTCCTGTTTCCCAATTTCTTTGTCGTATGTTACACATACAACCTAATTTTGCCTTTGCGACTATCGGACTTGGCTCTCTAATAACCTCCTAGTGCCAATGCGTACCAAGCAAACAGCTCGCAAAGCCACTGGCGGGAGGGCGCCCAGGTTGAAAGTTTCAACGGCTGATCATTTCCAGGATCACTCCGGCCGTCGTTATACCGTGGTGAACGGTCATCGGGACACCTCTCCGGGGATATTTAAGCTGTCAATCCAGCTCTACTGCCTGGGCAGCCCCAGCCCCTCGCCCGAGGCTCTAGGAGACAAATTTCTCAGCTGCCCAGCCATTAGCGGCTGGGGCAACGCGAGAAACTGGTGGCCGCGTGTAGATGTCTACACGGATTTCGGTAATATAGAAGAGTGCGTTGAACATCATCGTCGCGAGAAGGAATTTCGGAAAGCGGCCGTTGAGGAGATGAGGAGAAAGGCGGTTGCCGGCCTCTCGGAAGAAGCTGCGTGTGAAAAGCTGATAAGTGAGGTTCGAGGAAAGGAGCCATTACCGCACATAGTGCCGAGTTGGTGTCCATCAGCGAAATACTGGAAGGATTACAACTTCGGGAGCCGCTATAGAAGTTGGATCCTAGCTATGCCCGAGGGGTGTATTTCGTGGGATGATGTACTTGAAATGGGACTACTTATGGTCAGTTTTGATCTAGACATCGGCCCCGCGATGGAAACTCGAACGCTTGACCTGGATATGGAAGAAGATACTTTTTTAGAAGGTGATAAGCATGGATGGGTTTTAGTGAAGAAAACTGGCATCGAGAAAAGCGAGCCAGTCTGCCGCAGTCTACTTTGTGTCCGAGAACAACCTAGGGACGTCTTTCTTCGTCCTAATGAGATGGAGAATATAGAGCGTATTAATGAGGTCATGCACGGATGGAAAACTCCAGGGCATGACAACACGTTAAGCCAGGCTTGGGTCGATGCTACGAAAAATTTGTGGGACTGTACTTATCGGCCGGTTGTGTGTGACGGTTGTGATGCGGATGAAGAACACACGTCGTGCGAGATCGAGTTGGATGAACACTATTTTGATGGCGATGGACAGTGTATCGCTTGTAGGAGGGTGATAGACGCCGAAGTAAAAGGATAGCAGCTAGAGGCTAGAAAGGATCATGTTACATCTAAACAAAAGTAGTCTTGATCGACTTTTTATATTTATATCTAAGGCCTACTAAGTCTTGTTCTAATCTAACTAAGAAACTTATTAAAGTATATTAATTTTAAATTACCTGTTTAAGTTATAAGACTAGCCACAGATCTTTAAAGAGTTCTTTAGCTGTATTTTTCTGTTTAAGTAACTAGTATAGCTCTGTCAGAACGCTTATTAGGGTAGATTACATAATAGTTAGAGATCTAGCGTAAGGGCTTAGAAATCGTACGTAAGGGCTTAGAAATTAGAAGTAAGGTAACTACGTTATACTATTAAAGGGATTTATAGTAGTATAAGAAAGAAGAAGAGGCTAGAGGAATTAAAGGGATTTAGAGATAAGTTTATAGTTTATAGAGTAACTTACCTTTAGCTTTAAATATACTACGTATTATACCTTAACCCTAAATATACTATATATCTGCCTTTACCTCTTTTACTCTATACTAATATACCTAACATTCTTATCTCTTCTCTTAATAAGTTATAGACTATTAGAGTAAAGGACAATAACGTAGACATGATATAGTAACTAAGAAGAGACGTAAGCCTCTTTACAAGTAACTCTTTAGAACACCTTACAAACTAGTAGTAGTAAGGGTAGTACAAACTTCTAAATGTCCTCTAAGATCCTTTTAATAAGTAAGAATAAATTAAACAAACAAATCGCCTAAGCTAGAATAAAGTAATAGCTTAAACAAAAAAGGGACTTCTTTATAGTAATTAAATAAGGAGAAACTCCCTTAATAAACCTATACGAATTTGATAATACAAAACCTAAGTAGCCTTTATAGTAAACCTATATTAAAGAAAAGAAGAGTAGTAAGAGTAGCTAAAACCTACTAACCTTCTAACTAAAGAGCGAGCACTACTTAGCTATTACAATCTATATCTTTAACTAGTAGACAGAATTTAATACCTATCTAGAGAAATACCTAGATAATACTAAACAGGTCGACGCTATAGTAGTAGGGTTAGGGCTTTATATTAAAAAACAGTAGAGATCTTTTGTTATGTTAGAAAAGGACAGATTAGTCTTAAATGTAAGTTAGAAGGAGATAAAGGCGTTCTTTTATTATAGTATTATAGACAAAGGTACCTACTCTCTTAAAGTAGTCTTAAAGCTTTAAGTACTATTATAAAAAGAAAATAAGACGTTTAGAACTTTCTTTTAATAGTACTAATCGTTAGAGATAGAGCTTAGCTACGGCCTCTTAGAGATGTTCTGTATTTGTTTTCTTATTAACTATTTAAAACTAGACTTAAAATCGTATATAGTTTATAGTAAGGTACTAAAGATATTTAAAGAAGTCTACTAAGTAGCGTCTAGAAGAGAGACTATTATACGTACTAGACAACTAGAAAATTCTTAAGTAGTACTTATAATACTATAGTATTTATAAAGAGGCTCTTCTTATACCTTAAAAACTCTATCTACACTAACTCTAGTACTAAAGGCGCTCTCTAGTTAAACATTAACTACATAAGAAGAGTCCTCTAGTGTCATAAAAGCCTTACTTTTAAAGGAAGTACGTAGTACTTATTATAAGTATTATAAGCCTAGTTATTAGGTAAGCTTATGTCTAGAATATAAGTATTTAACCTATAGGTAAAATAGATATACTTAGGTTTAATGCCTTAATAAGAATACTATATTAAGAGTAAATACTATACTAGTAGTTTACTATACTACTCTTAACCTATAAGAAGAAGAGCGACCCTTAATAAGTATTTAGGTAGAGATACGTATTAGGGATAACTAGGTAGTTATATAAGCCTTATTAGACTTAGGGGTAGAGGTTAACCTTATCTATTTACGACTCTTAGAGCTAGAGATACTATAGTAACTTAATAACTACGTTATAGTATCCTTACTATTCTAAGAAACAACAACTAATTTTAGATTGTACGACCTGTTTATTAAGGTATAAGACGATTATTCTAATGTATAGTAGTATTAAGGAACATTTGTTATTATAGATATTAGAGAGTTTAATGTTATACTTAGATTTCTATAGCTTAAGGCTATAGATCTAATTATGTCTTAGAAGACGTGTACCTTTGTCTATCTTACGTTAACCTTAACGATCTGTTTGTACGTAACTAAGAAAGAAATTAGAAAGGCTATAAAAGAGTCTTACTTTACTATTATAGTAACTATATAGCCTATTATAGTTAATTTAGAATTTCTAGAAAAAGAAGAAAGGCTAGAAAGTAACAAGGCTAACGTAGTGTCGCTACTAGAGAAGTACTAACGATTTGTAGATGTCTTCTTAAAAGAAGGGGCCTAGTCGCTACCTACGATTAATAGCCTTACTTATATAATTAATATAAAAAGAGATATAGTACCGCCTTATAGTTAAATCTACTTATTAGTAGAACTTAAACTAGGTGTCTTATATAAATACTTAGATAACGCTCTTACTAAGGGTTAGATTCGTCTAAGTAAGAGCCTTATAAAGGCCTTAATACTTTTTGTTCTAAAGAAAGAAAGAAAACTTTAACTTTGTATTAATTATTAGGCCTTAAATAGTATAATAAGAAAGAATTAGGCTCTTATCCCTTTAATTAGTAAGATCCTTAACTAACTATTAGGAGCCTAAATATATACTAAGCTTAATCTCTATAAGGCGTACTATTAGGTTTATATTAAGGCTAGTAACAAATAAAAGACGGCTTTCTAGTACTAATATAGTTACTTTAAATACTATATAATACCCTTTAGTCTTATTAACGTACTAGCGACGTTCTAGACATTTATTAACAAAGTACTAGAAGACCTTATTAATAACATCTATATTATGTATCTTAATAATATCTTTATCTACTTAATAAATAAAGAAGAGTATATATAGTACGTTTACTATATCTTTAAACGTCTCTAGTAATATAACCTCTTTACTAATCTTTCTAAATACGAATTTAATATTAAGTAAGTAAGGTTCCTAAGGTACGTAATCGACCTATAAGGAGTTTGTATTAAACTTATATGTATTTCTATAATCTAAGAATAGCTAATTCTAACTACTATAAAGGCTATACAAGTATTTCTTAGCTTTACTAGGTTCTATAAGCGTTTTATTAAGAACTATTTAAAAATTACTATTCTACTTATAAACCTTCTTTATAGTAATACTACTAGGTTAGTAACATTAGAACCTAAGGCGTTAGAAGTATTCTATAAGTTATAACTCCTTTTTATAAGAGCTCTTTTTCTTTATTATTACGACCTTATACTACTTACCTAAGTAGAAACAGACGCCTTTACGTACGTAATTAGTACTATCTTGTCGTAGCTATAAGAAGGCCGCTAGTACCTTATTATATTTATTTCTAAAAAGCTAAAGAGGCTAGAGCTTTATTATAATACCCTTAACGCTAAATTAATAGCTATTATAGATACTTTCTAAGCGTAGAGACTATATCTAGTATACGTATAGAGCCTAGTAGTAGTCTTAACAGACTACCTTAATTACTACTACCTTACTATAAAGCTAAAGCTATTATAATAATAAGCTAGATAGCTAGAAGAGCTCTTAGTGTTTAATTTTAAGATTAAATATAGAGAAGGCACTTATAACCTTACTAATAGGTTATTACGACAGCCTAACTTATAAGATCTAAATAAGTAGTTAAAAGCGTAACAAGCTCTTTTAGTAAACTTTCTTAACAAATTCTAAGTAAATATAGTTACCTTTAAGCCTAGTAGTAATATAACAAGGCTTATACGTACTATTACTTTAATTCCTTTTATTCTTTTACTTTCTTTTATTCTTTTTATTCTTTTTATTCTTTCTAAAGGTCTAGCGACCTTTATAATAAACACTACATTAAAGGAATCGCTTTAGTATAAGAGGCTAGACTTATACTAGCTAGTAGACTAAGGCGATCATAAGGTTAGGGTACTTTATACTTTTATTACTAGAGCTTTAAGTCGTAAATTAAATTCTCTTATACTAGTAGAGAACTCTACTAAGGGTTAGGCTAGTAAGAGTAATAGCCTAGTAACAGTACTATTAACACTATTACTCTTACTATTAGAGGCTCTTTATAATATATAGTAAAGAGACGCCTTTATTATAAATAAAGAGTAGAAGCTATAGTAGGGTAGCTAAGGCACTACTAGGTCTATATAGACGTTTAAGGATAATACTTTACTTTAGTATTATAGATATATATATATACCTAATAATCTAAGCTTATATAAGGAATTACTTAAACTGTTTTATAACGTACTTACTATAAGGCACTAGAGAGTTAGTAAGACAAAAAGAAGGCTATCCTAATCTTTCTTTTAGCTAAGTCTTAATAAAGACGTCTACTATTATATTTTTATATATACTATTTATTAGAAGATAAAGTTAAGGACATATCTTTTTTATAGTAAGTTAGCCTTTCTTCTTATTTTTATAGAACTATAGTAAGAAATCTTACTTAACTTTATTACGTAGCTACCTCTCTTTTATAACGTAGTAAGAAAGCTATATAACTCTATTCTTATTATTATTAACTAATTTATAAAGTTCTTCTTATACATTCTAACATTAGATTAACTTACTAGTAATAGACTAGCGTCTCTCTTAGTATACTACGTCGTACAATAGTTTAGTATCCTAGATAGTATAGTCTCTAATCGTAGTTCTCTCTTTATAAGTAAATTCTAGAGTAGTTTTTGTTAGTACTTTATAACGTTATAGTAGCTAAGTACTACCTTTTATCTATAAACAGATAGTTAAACAGAGTAGTAAAATTAATCTGTTAAGTACTACCTTTAAACCTACTATAGCTTTATATAAGACGACTAAGTAACTAAATTAGACCTAGCTAAATTCGTCTATAATACTTCTTAGTACTTTATAATAAACATAACCCTATTATATATACTCTATAAGTACTAGCCTTAAGGGCCGGGTAACATACCCTTAAGTAAGACAAACCTAGTAGACGTACTAGTAGCTAACAAACAAGTAACGTAGCTTTAAAGTACTTAAGAAGAAATCATTACCTTCTTATAGTACT